ACAGTTTGAAAATAACATGGTTCCTTGTCAGCTTATTACAGCATACAACTCAAGCGTTAAAAACATTTATTTGTTGTTTATGTACAGTCTTTACAGTTTGAAAATAACATGGTTCCTTGTCAGCTTATTACAGCATACAACTCAAGCGTTAAAAACATTTATTTGTTGTTTATGTACAGTGATTACAGTTTGAGAATAACATGGTTCCTTGTCAGCTTATTACAGCATACAACTCACTGTACATAAACAACAAATAAATGTTTTTAACGCTTGATTACAGTTTGAAAATAACATGGTTCCTTGTCAGCTTATTACAGCATACAACTCAAGCGTTAAAAACATTTATTTGTTTATGGTGTGAAATAGACTAAGTTGGTAAATTTTTTTTGTTTCAAATTTACTTAGGTTACTTATAAATCAAAATTAAGATCAAAATTAATAACATACTTTTATTTATTTTAATACTAATTATTGATTATTATTATTATTTATTTTTACTTTAATTAACGTTCTCGTCATTCAGTGGAACTGGCGAATCAGCAAGCTTGTGATTTCAAAGCAAGTCTTCTCAAATGAAGAAAACACTGAGAATTAGTCAGTCACTATGTGGCGCTATTGATAATTGCATATAAATACAGTTATTTATAACTGTAAACTAACCTGACTAAAATGACCTGTTCCCGGGACAAACCGGAAAGGGTTGATGTAGTTGGCTCTGAATATCTTAACTTGATCGTACCAGTTGTTGATTATCAGCTTCCAATCAACTGTGTTGTCATCAAAAGATGAAGCTACGCTTGCCATATTCTGCCCGACGTTAAATCGTTCTGGAAGTTTAGGTAGTTCCATATTTAGCTTAACTTTTCCACTTTATTGATCAGTATTAATGTTTATAAAATATATAATAAATTCAACATAGACCATTTAAAGTTTACAGTCTTTAAAGTGTTTCGAAATTTAAAAATATCTGAACTGTAATTTCAATTATAAAGTATATCAATAAGGCAGTATATGAAGTTTGAAAACAAGGAATTTTTCCATGTAAAAAAATAAATAAAAATCTTAGAAAATTAGAAGTGTAAGTGTAAGTTTTTTTTGTTTTGTTTTTACTGGAGTTACAATTATTTCTTGCTAAAATATTATTTAGCATGTACATACAAACAACATATTTCTAGATACAACGCAATCTTAAAGAAATGTTTACTGAGAAACAATTGTAAGTTACCTGAATTTGTTTGTTGTTAAGCACATAGCTACACAATGTGTTATCTGTACTATGTCCACCACCAGTATCGAAACCCGGTTTTTAGCGGTGTTTGCTCTCACACTTACATCAGAGACACGGAGAATATTTGTACACGACAATAGTTACATCACCCTCCGCTAGGATATATGAGAAATTCATAAGCACAAATTAATTTTATTGCTTACTTGCTAAGAACACCACCAACGTTTGTCGTTGCAATATGCAAGTTCGTAAAATTTATTAATTATGTTTAAGAGTTTTATGTAAGTGAGATTCTGTTTAAATTACTTCTGAACGCAATAGCGTGAACACTAAACTACATTCTTATAATTTATATAGCAGGATCAGGGTGGTTCGGGGTGTGTGGATAATCCCCGTTTTGAACCACAAGGCCCGGCATGGCCAGG